CTCTCAGCTAAAAATATTTGGATCTTTTAAAATAATTTATTTAACCTAATTGATATTTTTTTAACTAACGACGAATTTACGTAAATTTTCATTTTAGTTCGGAAACAAAAATTACCAAAATTGCAAATTATCGATGTTGAAGTAGCAAAGGTATTGTTGTACCTAAAGATTTGGAAGTAGTTTAGTTCAGAGAACACCTGGATTAAATGGAGATTCAACATTTATTGCATTACGTTTAATTTCAATTGAACAAGAACAGAATTACAAGAATGAAAACAAATCTGAGTGCTTTATTATAGAATTATTTTATCTTAGCGAATTAGATATTGGACACGTAAAAGTTTGATTTGAAATTAAGACCAGAATATGAAATGGCTGATACCTCATTAATAGAATAATGGGATTTAGTTCCTAAAAACAGTTCCGCAATCAAATCTTATACGAAGAAAAGTGCGAGACATCTATTAACTCGTGGACAAGTTTTCGAGTTACATAATAGAGATGCAGCTCACGCTATAATAGCCTTTATTAGGATTACTAGGAACAACATGTCATTCAAGATGCTGAAATTTTTTCCAAAGCATTACTAAAACCATAAGCATAATATAATGAATGTTTATGAAAAACTGACGCTAAATTTTCTTACGTCATTATTTCGGCCGAAATTGTTGTAAAATCTGGTCGAAATTAGAATGTTGGCCCAAATTTAGCTAGCAGCTTTAAACTTGAATGAGATCTGGGTTGAGAAACTTCTTTGTACATGTTAATCACTTATTTTCCTTGATTAAACATACGAAATTATAAGCATTGTATAGCAGATAATACTGTACATGATCCCTAGCACGTCAGTTAAAAAATTATTAGCAGCTCCTACAGCTCCTAGTAAATCAGCTATTCGAAAATAACAAATAATGTTACAGTACCAACTGTTGAATAATCCAAATTTTATTAAAAAAAAGACTATAATTTAATAGTAAAGTGAATAGTATTTTATTATGTGTATTTTGTTGACAGATTAGTTTATAAATGAATATTCTATACAAACAACTTTTTTCCTCAATTACGAGTATTTCAGCTGTAATTTCCAAACAAGTCGTAAATGGTCTTTTTTATCAAAGTTTTTAAAGCATAATTGGCATCTATCATGATTAGATTTTACTAAAAGAATTGATATTAAAATCTCATTTACACATGAATTTTGCTGAAAATTTGCAAAGGATAATAATACCAAATTGAGTTGTAAAAGAGAATTAGTGATCGACACGAGGGAAATTTTTAAATTTGTGCGACGTACGCGTCTTAAAATTTTGTCATAAAATGGTTCAGAATGTGTCAATTTTAAAGTATTTCATTAAATAGAATTCATTCATAACTACATAATAATAGCAAATTCCAAAAATCAAATTAAGCCAAAAAAGCAAAAAAAAAGGAAAAGCTAAAATATTATCATTTACACAATTCTCTTAAATTTCTCATAATATTTTTAGAATTTAAATGTTTTTATATCTAGAAAAATTTTTATTACTTACTAATCGAAAATCTTTTTTAAAAATATCGAATATTATGAAAAATCTGAACTAATAAAATTAATATTTAGTGATTACTACTTTAATACGATTCCCCGCTGCGGCATAGCGAAAAAAAATTAAGCTTTTTTTAGCAAAAGCTTGATTTTTTTTCTCTCACGGCCTTTACTTCCCTCTTTCTTTCGAGGTAAACATAAAATTAGGTTCTGATTCACTGACAAAAACCCAATAATTTTTTGATAGACGTAAGGTAAGAGACCAAATTAGGTTGTAAATGATAATCGAAAGCATTTTTAAAAAATGTATATGGGAACGATGATTCTTCTACTTTTTCGGAATCGAAAACTCACTAGTTTTTATATATAACTATATACGGGAAGATTTTGTTGATATGCTAAATTGGGTTGTAAATTGATTTCTAATCAACATTTAATTATTTAAACCCTTCTATATCCCCTGATTCATTACTTACTCTGCATTTGTTTCAAGAGCAGCAAACCTAGTGCCTTATTTTCCCTACTCGTTTATTAATAGGTTGCTATCTTTTAAATCTTGTAAGTTTGCGCTTGTTGATTCTCCTTTACTGTTTGAACGTCCCCTCTTCTGTTTCTAATAAGATTTTTAATCTATTTTTAGTATTCTCTATATTAAAATAAAGTCATCAGTAACGATAACCAAAAAATAATATCGACTTTTTATACTTCTATATTTAAGATGTCTGGAAAATTTGGTTTTGAAATGAAGGCAGGTATTGATGTGGTAGAAGTTGACGGTGGGGGTGTTAAAGTAAAGGTTAGACCTAATCTTGATACAGGTGCATCTGTTAGCAGCGATGGTGTAGAAGCTAAAGTTGGAGGCGTAGGTTTTAAAGTCGGAAAAGTAACAGGATTCAGCACACCTTTGGGAAACTTTGAAATTAATTTTGTAAAAATGTTTGGTTAAATATCTATATTTTAAACTGATGATAATTAATTTCGACATTTCTGTTTATTTTTTTTTTTTTCTGTTATTATACATCGTGAGATCTTCAGTTATTTGATAACTTCTCGTTATATATCAACATCAATATAGTATAGCCTTAATTACATCTTTGATTTATGTAAATTGTTCTCGTATTTGGATATTGTTTATAAATAAAGTCATTACTATATTATAAAATAAACATTTGTGATTTATAAAAAAAAAGTCAACACGTACTATCTGCTATGTTTTACTGTTTGTTTTAATGAAGTGTAATTCAGATTTCTACTCCACATAATTATAGGATAATAATAATCATAATTTACTCTCACGATTTATAAAATATTTGAGGCCTAATGGATCGATGAATTAATGCTACAATAATAAAACTTTACAATTATTTTTATTACATTTATCTTTTGTAATTATCTCCACATTTTTTTTTCAGAATATTTTTTAGCTTTACTTTCATAATGATTCTTGATGGATACTCAGATTTGATTGTAACAATACGTATATTTTGCATTATATTTTTAATAGGCAGTTGAGAATATTAAGCAAAAAATTTAGAAAATTTACGCAAGTTCAGAATAAATATTTTTTTTAAAAAAATAAATAAATAAATAAATAAATAAAATAATTACCGAAATATATACAAAATATCATTTAATGTCAAGTTTCATCAACCATTTTCAAAACGGTTTATCCTATTAATTTGCTATTAAATATTCTAAATACAATATTCAGCCGGTTGTGTCCTATTCTGTATAACCAGTGGCGACTGTACATATCAAATATGAAATATGAAAATATATATAGATTTCATTAAAAATTTTGTTTCAATAATTACTTATAGTACCTAATTGAATTAACGACCAATATGATGGAATTCCAGGATAATATATATAGTATCATTCTAATACTGTAGATAAAAATTATGAAGGGCGCTGTACTGTTACATCATAAATATTGTAATAACAATAATGAATACTATAATAGTAAATGAAAGTCTAAATAATCTTACCGACTGAACGATTATATTATTTATTTCATATTGGGGAATTTTATTCAACTTATATGGTTGATAAATAAGGCTAATACTCAAATGAATGAAATGGTGAATAAAATGATCATCATAGTTGTAACACAAAGGGCAATAGTTAATTTAAAATTATTGAAATTGTAAAATTCTAACTTTAAAGTTAATTATATGAATTTTAACGCTTAAAATATGTTCATTTCGATTTATATTGTAAATATACTTAAATCCTGCACATTTCAATTTATATTGTAAATATACTTAAATCCTGCTGTTAAAATTTTCAACTTCAAATAACAAGTTCGAAAACAAAATAAGTCAAACAAATAAGAAATTAAACGAACAAAATTTTCAAATACTAAAGTACAATATTGGAAAATTGAATGTAAATAAAGTGTACAGTAGTTGTTCTCATAGTTTTAGCACACTTGAATAAATTTTGGAAAATCAATTTCGGATAATTGTCGGATAAATTTCGGCTAAATGGTTAAGTTCGGGTAAATTTCAGATAAATTTCGGTAAATATCAATTTCGTTGTGATTATTTTATTATAAATATTCCACAATTTTCATGTTGGAATTATCGGTGCAGGACCGGGAAGGCTTATTCTTTATTATTCTTTGATAAAAAACAAAGATAAAAAAGAATTCAATGTAAAGATCTTTGAATGAGAATCTGGTCCTAAAGGTAAATAGTTTGTAGAATTTTGTAATTAGTCTTTCATTGATAATATCACGTGACTAACTCAAACTTTTGTGTTATTAAACATTAGATCGATGGCAAGGTTATCATGTAGGCTTTACATCTCAAGGATTTAAATCACTTATGAATTGTATTCCGTCCTCAGTCGCTTTAAATCTTCCAAAAGCAATTCCAAATCCAGTTCCTGATGTAGAATACCATGGAGTTTCAGCTAATGATCATGAAGGAAATCTTTTACTAAGACCTCTATTTAAACAATTTAAAAATATTTATGAAATCGCTGAGATCCCTGATCATTTCCTATCAGTGACTGTTGCTTATCGTGATAGACTTAGAGATGTTTTATTAGAAAATGTTCCAGTTCAATGGGGTAAAAAGCTTGTTAGATATGAAGAAACTGATGAAGGTGTTTGGGTAAATTTCGATGACGGTTCACGAGAATTTTGTGACATTTTAGTTGATGCAAGTGGAGTTAATTTCCCAGGTAAGAATTCGAGATTTAATAAATTAAAATAAATATTATTTATTTTGTTTGACTAATAATTGATACGTATTTTTTTTTTCTTTAGTTCGAAAACAAAAAATACCAGAATTACAAATTAACGATATTGGAGCAACTTTTGTTGTTGCAAATGTTGTCGTACCTAAGCATCTAATAGACAGGCTAATTAAAGTCAATGGAAATAGTTTAATTCAAAAAACACTTGGATTAAATGGAGATTCAACACTTATTGCATTACGTTTAATTCCAATTGAACAAGTACAAAATTTCAAGAATAAAAACAACTCTGATGAACTTCATTATAGAACCATGATAGCTTATTTTTATTCTAGCGAATTAGATAATGAAGAAACTGAAAAATTCAAAGTTGATGATAATAATCCAGCATCGGTTGTTGAACATGTTAAAAATATGATTTGAAAATTAAGACCAGAGAGTGAAATGACAGATGTTTTATTAGAATTATGGGATTTAGCTCCTAAAGCAGTTCCAAAAGAATCACAAACTTATCCATTCAAAACTTATAATCCAATACAATTAAGAAAAGTAAGAGATATCAATCCATTAACTATTAATTCGTGGACAAGTAGCCGAGTTACATTAATTGGAAATGCAGCACATGCTATGAGTCCGTTATTAGGATTAGGAACAACACATGCTATTCAAGATGCTGAAGCTCTTTCTCAAGCATTACTTAACTATTCACCAGAAAATTATATTTCTTGTATTAAAGAATATGAAAATAAAATGTTAAAACGAGCACCTGTTGATGTATTAAAATCTAGATATGCTACAATAAAACACATTACACCAGTTGGATATTTTGGTCTTATTATTAGAAATAGTATACTAAAAACTACAAATTTTTTAATGAAAGTTCGTGATTTTGTTATAAATTTTGTTTAATAATTTCATTTTTAGATATAGTTAAAATTTATTAATATTTTACTAGGGGGACTTTTATATACAATTTTAAATATAGTTAAATTTTGTTATTATTGTATTAGAGGATTTTTTATATATAAATATAAATAAAGTTTACATCTCATTTAAAAGCGTAAATAAAAAATGGAGATTTTATAGATTAAGTCCGAATTTGAAATTTTTACATTATAATAGTATCAAATATTTAAGTGATTTGGTTTTTTTTTAAAAAAAATAAATAAATGATTTTTTTTATTAAATGTTATCTTTTGATTTTAGTTGACTTTATCTTTAGTGACTGATATAATGACATACCTTTACCACACACCAGGATCACCAACTAAAGCTATATTACCTATAATATTTTTAATTTTAGCAGTAAATGATTCAGTTTATTTGTAATTAGTATTTCTAGTAACTAAAAAAAAGAAAAAAAATAAATATAATATTCTTAGAATAATTTTCAAATTAATTATTTACCATATATTATTTCTTTAAAGTTGAAATTTCTTCATTCTATCAGTGATTGTAAATCTCTGCATTTACCTATTATGAGAAAGAAGAAATTATTAATAGTGTGCTAAATTTTTATTTAATGGTAAAGAAGACATAGCCAATTCCTCCTTTAGAATTAGCAGACTTTATCAATAACAAAGTAGGATGTTATTTGCTTGAGTTGGTTATCAAGTGAAC